GCTCTCTGGTCACGTTGCCAGGGTTTGAAATTTAGTTTTTAAACCTCAGCTGTGTGACCTTAGGCAAATTACTTACCTTCTGAGCTGTTTCTGCATCTGTAAACTAGAGATGTCAATAACAAAACTTACCTTGAGAGTATTAGACAAGATGATACTGTGGACAGCCCCTGTACCAGGCATGTGGTTCATCATGAGGCTGCCATGAGAACAATGGTCATGGCAGTTACCATTGGGAGGTGAGGTTAGGTGGAAGGCTCTAGTTGGTTGTAGGTCCTGAAGCCTCTCTTGGGTCATGGGCACCACAATGGGTTAGAAGGGTTCTGTCCATGGGAGCAAGCAAGGGCCCAGTGGCTGGAAGCCCAGAGCTCACTCAGGAAATGTCCAGGGTGCTGGGAGAGAGGCCAAAAAGGGGAAGCAGGTCTGGAAGGATATTTGAGGGACAGCTCTAAGAAGATTTATAACTTGATCCTGAAGGCAGCAAAGATCTGTAGATATTGTGGTGTATAGGAAAAGGGCTTTGAGGGTCAAGTGATTAGCAAGAATTTATGAGGGGCCTCCTGGGGGAGATTTCTGGAAAGCACAGTGGTGAGGAGGAGATGGAAAGACTCTAGGACTAAGGTGGCCATGTAAAATGCAGACAACCTGGTATTGAGTGGAACTGATTGAGGTCTAAGTTGTGTCTTTCCCATGGAACTGGGCCAGAACTTATGAGGTTCATGTCCACAACTGACTCAGATGCCCCTTATCTCTACTATAAGCAACATCAGGACACTAGGGGTATTTTCTCCTTTTCCTATCTGTGCCTGATAGGGTGAAGAGTGAGCACCAAGGGATCCTCCTTCAAGTGCTCTTTCTAAATATCTCACCCCATTTGTAGGGTGTATATTTGCAAGATGGCTCAGAGGGGGTGCAGAGGACGATTGATGACCGCTGAGGAGATATGAGGGTGGAGTAATCTGAAGATCCAAGGACACCTCCTTGCGTAACTGATGTCCTTTTCACTTTAACTTCTTGAAGCAAGACTTTGTTTGATTCAGGGACAAAGCTTTGGTTATGAGAGCCCTAGTCATTCAGGCCTTTTCTGGTGTGAAAAACAGTCGTTTCCTTCTTTCTGTTGCTCAGGGTCTCTAGGGTTAGTGCTCAGGAGAGCAGATGACACTTTTGAGGTCATCAGTGGCTCTTCTTGAAGGATTCCTCTTCAGGCTCATGATTCTGGGACCTCTACATGTCTGCCATTCTTTTTCTGTGTCTGCATTTTCTAGATTTGTCTTACTCAGCATGCACTTCCTCTTCATACCTCCAGCTCTTATCTTAAGCCATTCAAGTCTCCCTTCCCAAATATATCAGTTATCCTCCCCTTTCACTGTTGGGGTGAGAGTGATCAAGGGTGATTGTGTGCTCCTGTGGCCTCCCCACACTTGAGAACAGAAAGCTGGCCCTGTGGTGTCTCCTGGCCTTCTCCCTCTCATTGGGAAGCAGTACTGGAGGGGCTCAGTACTGCCCCCTTGTGGACCAAATGCTAGATTGATGACCTTGGCTGAATTGGCAAAGGCTGAGTGGGGCTGGGCTGCTAGCTGCCCTTGGGTTTGAATATTTCTCCAACCGTGAGCATTATATCATCAGCAGAAGCCTTGGGTTTGGGGATGTTCTACACATGCTTCCTGGTTTGACTGCTGAATAAAGTTTCAGCTGGTGGTCTTATCCCAGGAGACACTCATGCCCCCCTCTCTGCCCTCCTCAGTCAGCCTCAGTCCCCAAAATTCCCAGGCTTATTTCTGTGTTGAGTTAAGCACTGAAGGCTCTGTGACACCATAGGCAGGACTCTGGAGGGCCAAGCATTGCACAGTGCTGTTCCCAGGACACTGGCATGGGGAGAGGTTGCAACTTTCCACAGAGAAGCCACCAAGCCATCCCCAAGCAAGCATGCACTTACTCCAGATCCATTACTTTATCTACAGGGTCCCCCAACTCTTCCATCCAAGCCGACCACTACCTCAACCATCTCCTCTACACATTCTAAGCCCTGTGGGGTCTGCGTCTTGCATGACTGGCTACCAGTGCCACACTTGAGCTTTTCAGTGGCTTTGTACCAAGTTGGTATGTTGAAGCTTAAGGTCACAAAGTGGATATCCAAAGGACAAAAGCTAGAAAAGAAGCCTAGACACAAATGAAGGGACAAGGCCAGCTATTGTCAGGGGCCTGCCCTGCTTCAGAATAGCATGGAGCATTTTTTTTCTCTGCATGACAGTGCTTAGGAAAACTTTTACATGATTTTTTCTCTCTTTCTGCCTAGAGAGGTATGTTCTGGTAAATGCAGACTTTGGCAGCTGCTAAGATCCACCAGGACAAGAAGAGGAAGGCTCAGGGAGAGTAAGGGACAGGGTGGAAAAGCCAGCGAGGAGCATAGCAGGAGAGGTCCCCAGGAGAGTGGTGCATTGACCTGGTGTCTTCTGTCTAACTCTTCTGACAGGCTCAGGTTTCCAGTCTAGTCCTGTCCTTTGTTGGCAAAACTTGCTCCCTGGAGTCACTGGAAAGAAGATTTGGCTTGAATCACTTAATCTCTTTTTGTTGACCCAGAAGCTGAATTTAAACCCATAGTTATTAAGCCAAGATATTATTGTCTGTCTATTCTGTGGCTGTCCAGCCAGGACTTTGCCTGTGGGCAGCCACTCCAAAGTATGAGAATTGTCTCATGTCATGCGCACAGATGGGTTACCTCTAGACTCATGGCAGCCCCATTGTCCCTTAGAAGAGAACCTTGTTGATCGCCCTCAGCTACAGGTAAAGGCTGAAGAGGGATGAAGAGACTTCAGGTACTGTCTTGTCTCTGATCTCATCTTTCCAAAAGTCTTTTCTAGATGGCTCCAGCCCATTTTGGTCTTTCCTTTCTGTGAACTCATAGGCTGCTGGCAAATGTCACAGTGTCTTGCTTTCTACTCTAGCAAGAAGAGGAGGGGACCAGATGACCATTACTTCCTGTCACATCCCAACCAAAACTAATCAAACCTATGTCCAAATTTCTTCTCTGTCACTTCTTGGCTAGATGATCTTGGGGAAAATACTTAACCTTTCTGAAATTTCATCTTCTGAAAGATGGATGACATAGTAGTTCTTATCTCATTAAATATATAGTAATGTGTGTCAGGTGTTCCATTCATTATTGACCAGGGTTCAGGTTTAGTGTATGTAAAACACTGTTATAGACTTTTTTATTGCTTTCTAATGTTAGATCTATAAGTAAATTTCATTTGTTAGTAAAGTTAAGTCAGGGGTAAGAAAATCTGAAGGCCACCAAGTTCTGGTTTAGTTCATTTTGTATAATTCCCATATGACCCAAGGAGCACTGACTTTTCTGTTAGGGTGTCATGTCATTTAAATGTCTAACTGGAGAAAAACACTTGGTCAAGACCACACTGGCTTCATTTACCTTTTTCTCTCCTACCATCCCCATGCCAGCTGTCAGATGGGCTGATAAGGAATCAGCTTGATCTTCTGTAGGTAAAAAACAGATATACTGTGATGTCTAGTACAGACAGTTTGGCAACTTGGACCCCTCCTCTGTGAAGCTGAAAAATGGCTTCCTTCTTCTCCACAGCTCCCACACTCAGCATCTCTGTGTATCTCTGCTGACTCATTCTAGGATCAAGAGCAAACCCGGACATGAGGCATCTGTCAGCTTCATGATTGGCAGATGGCAGTGAGCAGCCATCTGCCAGTCATAGCACCCCTTTCCCCCATCCAGGTGGCCTACCAGCCAGCTCTCGTTCTTCTGAGGCCAATTTGCTTACAGCTAATGGCTTGTCCTCCTATTTCATTGCTCTGAAGAGACTAAGCTGCCAGAATTATCCAACCAAATGTATCTACTTCTTAGGGGGATACTTTAAAAATCCCTGAATTCCCAAAGTTCAAAGGAGCCTTCTTCATCTCTGGAGTACCTCCCTCCTTCCAGAGAAAGAGATGGAGCCAAACGATAGCAAGGTCGGAGGTTAAAAGTATCACAGGCCCTTGGCTCCAGTAGGAGAGTGAATGTCTTCTCTTCAGGACACAGTTGAGGGTTCTTAGAGCAGAGAATGGGAAGAGGACAGGAATGGACCAGACAGGGTTCACAGAAGGCAGAGGGAACTGCCACCACCTAAGACAGCTCATGGTGGAAAATGTGCTCTAGCTAGGCTAGCTTGATGAAAATGGCTTTGCAGCCGCACCACAGGCCACCCCCACCAGGACTGGGACCTCTGCAGCCAGCTGAGAAGGGAGTCCCCAGTGCGGATGAGCCCACACAGAGGGCAGGTCTGGGAAGGAGGGAATGGGTTTCAGCATTTGAAACCATGTGGGACAGAAAGTCAGCCACATTATTCAGTAGGGATGTGCCAGCTGCTGCCTCTCCACCCTACTGCCCCCAGGATCGACTTCCTGTAGGCCCTGCCTAATGGACCCTAGCATGTGTCCCAGCCCTACAGCTACAGCTCTGTAGCTGGGAGAAAAAGCAAGCCATTCATAATTCACATTGCATTTTTTTGGAGTTCACGCCTTGCAATTTTCTAAAAATTTCCCTATGATTTATTAAAATCCCACTCGGAGTCCAGCTGCTGAATCAAGTCCTGAGAGCAGCTGGCAAGGGTGAATGACAGAGAGGGAATGGGTGGAGCTGGGGAAGTGAGATTCTGAGATGTTAAGTGACCTCCATGTAGTCACATGACCAGAAATCTCACACTAAATCTGGATTCATTTACTGCCATCTATGTTATAACTTCCCATCCACACTAAACATAAACACTAGACCTCTCTCTCTCTCTCTCTCTCTCTCTCTCTCTCTCTCTCTCTGTGTGTGTGTGTGTGTGTAGGGGGGCAGACAGAGGGCAGGTAGCCAAATCTTGGGACATGTAACTACATCTGTCTACCGTCACTTGGCATCTGGATTGTCTTTGACCCTGCAATTATGGAGTAATTCCTACCACCCTGTTCCTTCTTCTTCACTGACAACAACCCTTTCCTTCTTCCAGTCCCCAGTCTTCATCGCCCAAGTTGGCCAGGATCTGATCTCCCAGACAGAGGCGAAACTCCTGCAGAGGCCCTGCAAAGAACTCTTCTCTGCTTGTGCTCAGTAAGTGTTCCAATCATCAGGGCCGTCCTATCTGGGAAAGTCCTGCCTACCTGGATAGATCATGCCTACTTGGTCAGACCTCTTACTGCCTGGGCTGACCCTTAGCTACCTGGACAGACTCCCACCTACATAGGAAAAGCATGCCTTCCTGGGCATATCCCTATCTTCCTTGAAAGACAGTGGTTTTGGTTTTACATCATACCCAAAGCTTGGGTTCTTCAGGACTGTATCCCAATCTGTCCGTTCCCACCTCTGAATCCTAGCCCCTCTGCTATCTCAGCAAGTCTGATTCTAGTCTCACTTCAACTCATCGTCTCTTCAGAGAGTTGTACCTGAGTTCTAATTTAGTATAGCTTATCTCCAGGATTGTTGACTTGATGTTTGTGATTTATTGTATATGTACCCATTTGAGTACCCACCCCATACTCACTGATTTACAAAAGGACTTGAAACAAATGCTGGCCCATGACAGCCACACAGTAAATGCTTGTAAGTTTAAGCAACCATTGAAAGAACAAACACACCTCTGGCCAGATATGGAACATCCATTGCAAGGCCTGGCTTGTTTGCAGTTCTGAAGGCAGTAACCCTCTAGACTCTGTCTGGCTTTGTCAAGGTGGAGATTATAACATGTTCATCTTTTTGTCACTCTGGGTTAGGTCTGTCCATGACTACTTAAAGGGAGACCCTTTCCATGAGTACCTGGACAGCATGTATTTTGACCGTTTTCTGCAATGGAAATGGTTAGAAAGGTGAGTACCATGCATGCTTCTTATACAAGTATACAAGTGTGAGAGGTAGGGTATAGAGTTCACCTGTATGATAATTCATACAGAGATAAGATACCGTCTATAAACCTCTGATGACTGTCAAATTGACCCATCCTCCTTCCACTAAGTTTTTGGGTATTCTAAAAATGCTATGGGCGTATGTAAGCAGGTACTGACTTGGTTGTGCCCACATATACATCAACTGATTTGTGCTTCTTTCATTTTCTGTCTTTCTCTACTGGATTCTCTCCCTCCCTCCCTCCCTCCCTCCCTCCCTCCCTCCCTCCCTCCCTCCCTCCCTCCCTCCCTCCCTCCCTCCCTCCCTCCCTCCCTCCCTCCCTCCCTCCCTGCAAGATGAAGAAGTCCTGCACCTGCCAAATACATGTTGACTATACCCCCAGCTCAGTCTCAGGTTTTTTAGTGCTACCTTCCATAAAGGATGAATAGCTTTGTACATAAAACTCTGTGTACTTTTGGCAGCACATTCTCAAAAGGCACCTGATTGTAATTTGTAAGGGACTGTTCAATTGCCCTCAAAAATAGCCACCTCCAGTTTCCAACCCTGCCAGTGCCTGAGCTCCTTGTATTTCATATTATTCTCATGGTTTCCTCCCACCAGTGAGCAGTGGGGTGTCTTTACTCTTTATTTTCCACCTCGCTAATTATAAGGGAGATTGAGCATCTTTCTGTGGTTTTTTTTCTGCCTCAGTCTCTTCAATGTTCTCTCATATGTAGCTCTTTCTTGGGCACATGTAGCCTCTCTCTGACAAGAAAGCAAGAGTCATGAAAAGGACATGATCTAGTCTCTGACTAGGCCAATCAATGCTGAGGGGCTAGGAGGAGTATGCTGGCTTCATTTTCATGATTGACATAAGTTATACCTGGCTTAAAGCATGCTGGGATAGACTGGGAATGGAATTGTCCCCTCAGGTCAGGGGTCCTGGTCCACAGAAGCTTGGTACCCCAGTGGTGATATGCTCCATACTCAGAGAAGGAAGCCATTTTCTTCTTGTGGACTGAACATGTACAGCACTCATGGGTCAAGTCCCTTCCAAATACGTAAAGGCCAGGTGAAGGCAGGGGTTTAAATGAATTCACCAGACCCACGATAAATGATAAGTAGGTTTTTATTAGGGAAGAACTTACACAGATAAGAGTAAATAACCACCACTGACTTCCTACTCCAGAATATGCAGTCTCTGCTCCTCCGATGCTCTTGGGAACCCAAGAGAGCATGAGCCAGCACCTCCCTTATCTTAATGGTCACATCTGCACCTGAAACCACTCCCAAAGGGTGTGGTCACTACTACACGTTCACTGGCAAGGCAAGATACTACTATGGCCAGGAGCCATCTCAAGGCCCTAGAGAAGGCCCACCTTCTCTGCACACTTCAATATGCTCTGTAGGAAAGCAGCCTGCTTAAAGCAAGTGTGTTTCTCTCCTGACCCATGAGAATTACCTGAGCAGAGCTCACCTTTATCATGGCAGCACTGGGATCCAAATCTTCAACATGCAACGACAGAGCCCACAAGCAAGGCACATCCAGCAATAGGTGTTGTCAGCTTGAAGATTCTCAAAACAGCCCTGTTCTTTATTGCAAATAATGACATCTACTACAAAAGCAACTTATGAGAAGCTTTGGCATGTATACATTTGCCTTCTCGTTATATCCATTTTATTAAAGACAGAAAGCTTAGAGAGTTTGGTAGGTTGGCTCTAGGCTACATAGCAAAGACCTGGTGAAGACCAGAATCTGAATCCAAAATCTTTCAAGTCCTTGGTTCCCATTCTACCCAGCAGTCCAATTCTAATTGACTCTTGGCTATGGCCACTGGCTTTCTTTTTATTTATCTGTACTAGCTTCGTGAAATGGACATTTTTGTTAGTGCAAAGTTAAGACTATACTCTTTGGAAGGTACTAAGTTCTTAGAGCTAGTAAGATGGGATCCTAGTTTAGGAATGCCCCACATCACTGATGGTACCCCATCTCTCCAGCTTTTCCCCCTCAATCATGACATATTTGCACTGTTATTGAAATATTAAGGAGATTTTCCTCCCAGGGTTAACAAAGAATTTCCTATGAAATTGCAGAACAATCATTTTTCTCGCAGAGGAGCTCTGCAGTAGTGATGACTGGCTGTTTATTTTCAATATGCTGTAAAAGGTTATGCCAATATTAACTTTTTTTTTTTTGCCTTTATGTAGTGGTTATAGGAAAGGCTTCTGGCCCTATGTCAGATACCTGCTCTTGGCAGGCTTCTCTGGAAAACCTGAGCAGCCCTAGTGCTAAATAGAAAGCCAGGTACTGAGGGGTTCTGTGGCATGGTAGGTACCCTGTGCATCTGTTGAGGATCAGGAAAGAGAAAAGTGTGTCATACACATGAAATGTAGACCTGGGACCCTGGAGTTCCCTGAGTTTTCAGGGTTGTCTTGGGCAATTGTAGTGTGAAAAGGCAATTTCACTGAAATCCAAGCCTATCTGGTTTTTAGAGGGTATGAATGTTTAAGAGTTGCTGAAGACTTGCTGGTCCTTCTCAAACTGATCCAGTTCTTTGAACCAGTTTAGTCTCCTCTAGACCCTGTCCTGATCAGGAATCTTATGGGGCATGGTGTGTGTGTGTGTGTGTGTGTGTGTGTGTGTGTGTGTGTGTGTGTGTGTGTGTGTGTGTATGTATGTAAAATAGCCCCTGTGCTCCAAGAGGTGGTTTTCCCACATTACATTGATTAGTCCTTGCCAACCAGGCCAGGGATAAAAACAAGGTCTTCACCCTGTAGTTCTTGGCAAAAGCTAGATACTTTATTTGTTGACTCCTGTGAATACCATCCATGCCTTTTGATTAGAAATACTGTCTGCTTAGACATGCTAAATGGCTCTGGCTCATTAAACTGGGAAGCTGAAGACAGAAAATGATGGGTATTTTATTACCACCTCTTTGACCATTCAGGGTACTCTAGTGTCCTGGGTGGATGGAAATGTAACAAAGCAGTGCCTGTAAAGGAAAGGTTAAAAGCTGATGATGACAGAGTACATGGGCCAGACCTGTAGCCAGCAACATTTTCTCTAAGTGAGGTGACCTTACTCATGAGTGCCCAGAACAGCAAGTATGACCATCTGTTGGGCAGGCTGAGCTCTACAGGTATGGAGAGGGCTGTGTGGTCCTATGTGGCCTCTGTCCCCACCCCCACATGTAGACACACATGCCCACACGCCCTCCAGTGCACCATATGCAGCAGAGTTCCCTTTTGGGTCTGGCCATAGACTGAATTTGTGAGAGAGCATAAGGATGTTGTCAGTGGAAGAGTAGCAGCTAGGGAGCCATTAGTTGCCTGGGTTGGGCTGTGTTCCTTCAGAGTCCTGACTCAACCTGGTTAAGCACTTAACTTCCAAACCTTCTCCCTGCCCTTTGAAAAAGCTGGGGTGGCTCAACCCCTAGCTGCCCATTATCTGGAGCCAGAGGTCTGAGTCTCTAGCACAGCCTCAGAGGAAGGTATTGCATGTCATTGGCTGGTTTCTTACCAATGACCCTTACCTGTTTCTCAAATCTACCTTCAGGAGACGAATGTCAGATTCTTGATATTTTTCAGACAACCAGTAACCAAAAACACTTTCCGGCAGTACCGAGTGCTGGGCAAAGGGGGCTTTGGAGAGGTGAGTGAACATCTTCATTGAAGGGTCTGGGCCTCTGCTCCCCTCCCCTACACCTTTTAGATCAGTAGTGCTTTCAGAAGGATCTTCTTGCTCTGCCCTGGCCCTCTGATAGCAGAGGTGGAGGGCAAGGGGTCTAGCCTTGGTACTGACACATTTGTGAGGGAGAAAGGAGGTTAACAGAGTCTTTGCTGTCCTGTGTGGGTCGGTGAAGTGGAGGTTCTTTCCAGCCATCCTCAAGTGGGGACTTCAAGGGAATGATGAGTCTCCTGAGTTGTGTTTGAGGAGGGGAAACCAAGGCATTAGGGCACCAAACACCCTTGGCCAATGAGGGGTCCAAGTGATACTGTTAATGTATCTTGTTACAGGAATATAGATTTAATAAATGCCATCTGGTCTTCTCAATAGTTGAGGTCAGCCTTGTTTCTGGGTTGGACCAAGGACAACTGTTCAGAAAAGACTGGTGACTTCAGCAAGGTCACACAACCAGTAAAGAGCAGAACTAGTGCTAAACTCTTAATGCTTCTTCCCATTTCTCTGAATTGTAAAGTTAGGGTTCTTGAAGGTCTCCCTTCAATGTCCCCCCAAAACAAATCTTCCAGCTGGCAGGAAAAAACTCAGTTGTATCTGATGAGGGCTCGGGGGTAGCACTTGAAGCCTTTAACCTGTCGCCTGACTTTATGCTGGATCATTTCAGTACCTTCAAGGCCAGGAGCCTTTGCAGCGGAGGAGGAGTCTTACAGCTAGTTCATAAAGGCGGGGTCCAGGCAGCACTGGGTATAGAGCCAGATGTCCTGAATGCCAGTAACCACAGGCCAAACCTGCCAACTTTGGCCCTGCCAGTTCCAGCTCCAGAGACCTGTCATCCTAGCCTGGGTAAAACACTTTAGTATCTTTTGACCGTAGTGTCTGCTTCTACTGCAGGTCTGCGCCTGCCAGGTTCGAGCTACAGGTAAAATGTATGCTTGTAAACGCTTAGAGAAGAAGAGGATCAAAAAGAGGAAAGGAGAGTCTATGGCACTCAATGAGAAGCAGATTCTTGAGAAGGTCAACAGCCAGTTTGTGGTGAGTGTCCAGTGCCCAGCCACAGGCCCACTCTTCTGGTGATGGGACTTCCTTCCCTTGCTAGGAATGACGGTCTTCCAATGAAGTCGGTCCCCACTTCTGGGATCTCTGTTCTCCAAGATCACATTGCAAACTCCTCAGTGAACAAAACAAGGCTACTCCAGGCCCAGACAAGGTTCTCTGGGTTCCACAGATGCTCTTGTCTGGTTTCACTGTGGTGGAGATCATCATGGTGGAGTTTCTTAGAGAGAGGTGTTTTTTTGTTTGTAAGCCTCCTTGTCAGTCTAGACTAGACTCTACCCTAGTAACCAGTTAGCCTAACTTTAAGTAGCTCTACACAACAAAAGCTTATCTGTCAGCCACATCAAGTCTAGTCAGATTGAGCAAGTCACTCCCTTCACTTACTGACTACCCTAACCAAAGCCAGGAAAGGATGCTGCAGCTTCTCCACAGGGACCTCTCACTGCCTCAGCTGGACTAGCTTCCACCCATAGTTCACTGGTCACAACTAGTCACATCAGGGACAAGCTTCTTGAAGAGGAGGCTGGGGAATATGGAGGTGCATGGATATTTGGTAAGCTCTAAATGTTTCCTTCACATGCTATTATAAAAACTAAAGTGTATGAGAGGTAAAATTCAAATGCCACGGAAAGATACACAATTAAAACCAAATACCTCCTTCTATGAGTAGTCATTCCATGCATGCTTTATTCATTTATAGGCTTTGTTATTTTTGGCTAACAGGGCCATCCTATATATATTATGTTATGATGATTTTTTTCCCTGAAGTTGATTTTTTTCTTTGTCTAGACCTATAGCCTAGCTACCCTCCCCCCCTTTAAAAAAAGATATACATCCTTGCTTTGTATGGCCCATCTCTACAAACTGAAATCTTTTCTCATTTGTAAACCTCTACCAACCATGCTGTGATGCCCACTTTGAAACGTTCCCTGATATGCTTCTGTGGATGAAGCCAGAGGCTAGATTCATAGTAGAGTCACTATAATAAGGGCTGTACACATTATCTTAATGTTGTTCTCAACTGACTGACCCTAGCAGTATAGAAGCTCTCATCACCCTTGTAGACTTGCTGGAAGGTCAGTGTTCTATCTGCCCATGTCCCCTTCAGCCCTTTACTTTGTGCCACTTATCAGAAGATCTGAGCATGAGTTCTTTGCTGGCTATAAGGTAAAGTAGGCAGGGTCACTGAGAGGAGAACTAGGCACAGGATATGAGCCGCTTTATCCCCTCTACTTCCTAGTGTTAATGACCCAAGAGAAAGGAGTATTAGTGACAGTTGCTGTCACCTTACCATAGTGCCGCTCTTGTGTTCCCAGGTCAACCTGGCCTATGCCTATGAGACCAAAGATGCACTGTGCCTGGTCCTGACCATCATGAATGGGGGTGACCTGAAATTTCACATCTACAACATGGGGAACCCTGGCTTTGAAGAAGAGCGAGCCTTGTTTTACGCAGCTGAGATCCTCTGTGGCCTGGAAGATTTACACCGTGAGAACACTGTCTATAGGTGAGCAGTGCTCCCAGAGTCTGGCTGGGCCCTTGCACCCCTCCAGGAACCCAAGTGACATAGACCACTCTTTTTATAGTATCTCTGGCATCTAATGATTAGAGAAGCCAAGCTTATAAAATGATATTCTCCAAATCCCTCCTCTACGGGGAAACTATGACCACCACCCCATTACCTAGCACCCAGGGTTACTCAGTGGATCCTGGTGTCTATCTTGAATCAGTCCCAGTGAGATGTGGGAACAGTCACTGTCCAAGGGTATCACATAGCCACATGGCCTGTCACAGGGCCTGCCCCACCCATTCCAGAGCCTATTCTGACTTATACCTTCCTCTCCTCTCGTCTTGACACCACGATGTCCTGGACTCTATAGAGCCTCATACCAAGATTCTTCTGACAGTGAGCAGAGCTTTATGGTCTCCTCAAAGTGCAGAGGAGGTTGAAAAGCTCTCTTGCCTCTTCTTCACTTTTAAAAAAGTTTTTTTAAATGTGTTTGTGTGTTTGCCTGTGTCAGTGCTGCTAAGTCCAGAAGGGATTATAGATGGTTATGAACCATGTTGATATGGATGCTGGAGGCCAAACTCTGGTCCTAGAGTATTAATTACTCTCAACCACTGAGCCATCTCTTCTGTCTCCCCTCCTGCATTTTGAGCACATATTGGATTATTCCCTTATGTATTCAGGAGAAGGGGCTGATGTTTTGATATTGGCCAGTTACATCCCATTTTTCAAATGACTCACTGAAATCTAATTTTTGTAGCAAAATGATTTCTACCAGCATGTGTCTAAAAAAATTTGAAAAGAAAACATACAAACAAACAAACAAAAAACTGTGGCAAGCCCTTGAAAGGTAAGAGTTGATGATAGGAACTCCACATCAAGCATTGCCATCATGTAGGACATTGCCAGTCCTCATGGACTGCCAGACACCCACACAGTCAGTTGATGACTTTACATGGATTTCTGGGTAAATTTCTTTCTATTTAGTTTTTACCCTAAGGGCTAAAAAAAATTACCTTTGATTACGTTTCACTTAGAAGTGTGGTAGGGAGAGGGAGGACAGACTCTGGAGTCCCAAATTCTCTTCCTCTAGGGCAGCACAGACCTAAGGCAGTGGTTCTCAACCTTCCTGATGCTGCAACCCTTTAACACAGTTCCTCATCTCATAGTGACCCCAAGCATAAAATTACTTTTGTTTCTACTTCTTAAGAAGTAGTAGAACTGCTACTACTATGAATCATAACGTAAATATATAATTTCTGATGGCCTTAACTGCTTTCAAAGAGTTGTTCTATACCAACAGTGTTTCGACCCACAGATTCAGAACCACTGGCCTAAGATATTTCCCCTGTCCTGACTACCTGCCCTAGATTGTCTGTAGATTTGATCCTGTCCATTAGTTCCTGGCAAGCTGTTGTTTCCAACACAAGGCCACTTGTTTCTTGAGTTGAGAGTTCTTGCCCTTATTTGGAAATGCTAGCACATCAAAAGAAACCCATGTAAATAATAAAAAGCAGCAAAGCTGGTTTGTAATAAAGAAGGGTATGCAAATACCCATCTCATTTGCTGAGACTGCCCAGGATTTGGGTATATGAACCACTCCCTGCAAGAACAGCTGCCATCAGTTAAACAAACAAAGCTGGCTGGTGCAGAACTGGAGCATCCATCCAGATGCCAGAATTGTTAGCCCTGGGGTGTAAACAACAGGGTACACATCCCAGTCTAAGCTACAACCTTACCCAGCATCCAGAGTCTTCTGCCTACTCCCCTCTCTGGTTAGGCAGAGGTTCACCTCTATGAACGAGATCCTGTCACTGAGTTGAGGAGACATTGGGGAGAAGGTAAAGCAGCACCACCAGCAGCTGCGCCTTCTGCCTAAGCTTCTTCCTGGGCTTTGACAGAGCAGGACTTGGGAGATAGGTCGGCCTCTTCTACAGGCATCTTTCCTCTGGCTCATCTTCACCATACAGCTTTCTTCTTAATGATAGCACTGGTGCTCTGGTCTTGGTATGTTCTCTTAGTTTTCAGGACCTACTCTGCCTACTGGGTATTCTGTGATACCAGGTCTTCCCAGCCCTCCAGGGAGTCTCTGGCCATACTAGCCAGTGTCCTCTGCCTCATGAACCATCTCTGTGAGGACAAGCACTAGAATTGGCCTTTCCTAACCTCCTAGTTACTCTCTAGGAAAGAGAAGAAGCCAATGGCAAACCTCAACATTTGTGTTAAATTACTGGGAGGATAGAAATGATCTCACAATGGTCTTGACTCAGAGAGACTAGACTACCTCAACCCAGAGGTGGGAGGCAGATGTCTTGTGGCATCTGGGCCTAATTGGCCCTAGAGGGTCAGCACAGATGCAGTGTGTCTTTACTGCCTGCTCAGATGTCTGTTGTTTTTACCTTGCAGAGATCTGAAACCAGAAAACATCCTGCTGGATGATTATGGTAAGTCGGGGGCTGGAAGATGGAGGTCTTTTCTGTTACAGTATCTGAGACTAATGTCCCAAGTTACCCAGAGCAAGGGCCTGCAGAGACTCTCAGGAATGGTAGAAGTCTGTGCCAGGACCATGGGAAGGGTTTGAGGTCCATAGGGCAAAGGATCCTATTCCTGTTCCTTACTCCAGGGCCTGAGGGAGGATCCTTCTTTGTGAAGGACTGTGACATCAAAGCCAGTGTCAGTGATAGAGAGTGACGACCAAAAACAAAGGAGGCAAAGGTTTGGAGGCTTTGGGTAGTGCTGAACATCCATGCCACTTGTCCTGTTTGTGAACCAGAAACCTCAGGACTGCTGGGTACTATGAGGAGGACTGTGTAGTGCAGATACTATGGGACAGCCCATAGGATGCAGCCTGCTGACTCCAGCCAGCTGTGAACATGTCATTATCTGTGTACTGTCATTGTTACTTGCCCTTGGGTAGTATTCCCTCACCCATGCAGTGTAGTTGTCTCATGCACTCGGGTCTCCCAATCTCCACAGAGGGACAAGCGGCATCTAAGTGTCCATCTTACATAGACTAAGCCTGAGACTCAGAAGAGTCAACCTGACCATGATAAAGATACTATCAAGTCTCCTTCATGTTCCTGGGATACACAGCCCTCCTCTTCCTTCCCAATTTGGTGACCTGGGGCGAGCTGTGTTTTGAGGAACAGGGAGCAGCAGGTCCTCCGAGTGGTACAGGCCACAGTGCATTCTCTGAACACTGAAGTTCCACAGGGGCAGTCCACTGCTGGTACTCACATACTCTCTTCCCCTTTCCTGTTAGGTACCACAGAGCTAGAGGCCATCTGAGATACTCAGGCCTGATAGGCATTTATGGACATGGGCATATGTTCTTTCCTGGGTGTGAAATGTAGCCATGACCCTGCCTAGGTAGAGGTAGGCAGTGCTTCCTGGGCCTTGGGGGCCAATTTGGACTCTGAGCTCAGATTCCGGACCAGGCCCTGCCCTTCTCATTTCTCCATCTCTTTGATGGGGGGCGGGGGAGTGGGTGGGTGGAGACGGACACCAAACCACCTCCAAAGACCAATCAGGAAGGCAGGGAGTGGCTTCCCAAATTGCCTTACAATTTTTTCCCCTTAAGCAAATTGTTGCAAAATGTCAAGAACCTCATATTTTTCCTGTGAAGCAAGCCAAGAATCAGCCAAGATATTTTAAACTCTGTGACCTCAGCCTTCCAGGAAGCTTGTTGGGACATTAAATGTGACAGACCAGCCAGTGGCCAGCCTTGTCCAAGCATCCTTCTGCATCTTTTTTTTTTTTTTTTTTTTTTTTTTTTTTGGTTTTTACGAGACAGGGTTTCTCTGTATTGTTTTGGAGGCTGTCAGTCCAGCCTGGCCTCGAACTCACAGAGATCCGCCTGCTTCTGCCTCCCGAGTGCTGGGATTAAAGGCGTGCACCACCACCGCCCGGCCTTCTGCATCTTTATTAATGTTTCCCTCATTATGTGCAGTTTCTACACATCTCACCTACACTCTCCCAGGATTACCCCAAAAGAGCAGATTGAGGTCACATCTTCATTGGCGAGAGGCCTTGTGAGTCTATGTGTCTGACCAGGGTATGCACATGACCATAGGAATCCATTGATCCTGCTGTCCCCAACAGGCCACATTAGGATCTCAGACCTGGGACTGGCCGTGAAGATCCCCGAAGGAGACCTTATCCGTGGCCGGGTGGGGACTGTTGGCTACATGGGTGAGTAATAATTTGTGCCCATCATAATTGCGCCTTCCAAGGCCATTACTCGTAAGTTACTCTAGTCTCTTTTTGTTTTGCTGGTCAGAAGTATTGTGCTGATTTTCCATAGGGATGTGGTAGGAGGCCCAATCAGGTGGGGTGGTACAAATAGGACCCAAGGTGTGACCTAAACTTAGTTCTCTGTAACCCCAACCACAAGCCCACCTAGGTCTCAAAGATAAGCTATCCTCAGGGTTTGAACCAGGGCCTGGTACTACCATTTCTAGGGGTGCCCTTGTTGAAGAAGGACCTACCCAATAGACAGTTCTTTGGGGAGACTTGTGAGAAGAGGGAGGTCATTAAGAAGACCTCTAAAGTTATAGGAGCATGTTTCCAAGCATGGTTCTAAGTAGAGACCACCCTGCCTCCTCTCAGCCTGCTCCAAGACTAACATGCTGGAGTTAAACTCTTAGAATCTCCTACCAATTAGGAACATCTTTTTTCTTCCTTCTACATTCCTCACGTATATATCCCCAGTTACTCTGAAAGCTCTAGCTACCTGTTGCCCTCTGCCCAGGCCTGCACCTGCTGATGATATGTGGGGTTCAATACATTGTCTCTAGTTCTTGATGATCCTTTTCACACTACATAACAGTTGTTAACCTGTGGGATATGTGTCTGTGTGAATATGCATATGTGTGACCTTGTGAATTCTGATAGATCTGAGGGATACATTGAGAATAGATGGATAGGGGATGGCTGGCTGGCTGGCTGGATGGCTGGATGGATGGATGGATGGATGGATGATGGGTAAATTGATGATAGATATGTGGATGATGTATAAATGGATGATGGATAGATGGATGGATATATGGGCAGCGAGGCACATGAATAAAGATACGCCTATTCATGTACCTGTATGAAAATCTATTTACACATTTGTATCATTCTCCTTTTGGACACTCTTCTGAATGCTTTGTCTAAACACAGCCTCTGTCATGTGTTCACTGGTGCATGTCATGTGTACATGCTTTTCATTCTGGCTGGTCTCAAAACACATAGCTGTCTCTTTTGTACCTCTATGGTTAATCTGTGAATCATTTTGTCAAAATGGTAGGAGAGATACAGTAAAAGGTTAAAATTTTATTATTTTATGTGTGTGGGTATTTTTGCCTGCATGTATGTCTGTGGGTCCTCTGTGTACCTAATTCCCACAGAGGCCAGAAGAGGGTGTTGGATCCCCCGAAATTGGAGTCACCTGTGGTTGTGAGCTGCCATGTAGGTGCTGGGAAACAAACCCAGGTCCTCTAGAATAGCAACCCCGTCTCCCATGAAATGGTTCGAAGTCTTGGTAGATTAAATATAATCTTTAATTTAGGTGGGCACCCTTCTCCATTGGAATAAATATGTATGCAGTGCCCCCTGTGTGTGGAGGCCATGCCTGTCACTGGGGACAAAGCAGTGAAAACTGGTGTGTGCTCTTTCTGAGGAGACATTTCCGACAACCATAATTAGAGTTCTGAGGCCTCTGTTAGAGACCTTGGGCACAGTGAAGCATCATGTTGGGGAAGGCTTTCTAGGCAAAATGGTATGTGCACACCTGCTGGATTGAATGGAGGTTGGAAGGAAGGTAGCCGCCCCCAGCTCAGCACTCCAGTCCTTCTGTGAGAAAGCTTCACCCTTGGGTACTGCTGGGATGAGAAGCAGCACAGGCCTGTGTGCTTGGGTTGCATCCTGCTGCCTGTGGTCCCTCATTCTCTCCCCTCCTTCTGTCCTCAGCCCCAGAAGTCCTGAACAACCAGCGATATGGCCTGAGCCCTGACTACTGGGGCCTGGGCTGTCTCATCTATGAGATGATTGAGGGCCAGTCACCGTTTCGAGGCCGCAAGGAGAAGGTTAAGCGGGAGGAGGTGGATCGCCGGGTGCTGGAGACTGAGGAGGTGTACTCCTCCAAGTTCTCCGAAGAGGCCAAGTCCATCTGCACCATGGTAAGCTCCTGGTGACCCAGATGCTGCCATAGGCTGCTGTCTGCTGGTGGCCTCAGCCTGAAATGACAGGGGCAGTACATTCAAAGCAGTGGGTGGCTTGTGCTTCTTGATCTGGATGAGATGGTCAGACAGGCCTTAAGGGAAGCATGGCATATTGGGCAGGGTACCCTGTGAACCAAGAAATGGGGATTGAGTGACCACCCATGAAGGTATGTAGCTTTGTGGAGAAATCAGCAAAGGATAGAGATGATGACCCAAGTTGGTTCACAAGCAAGTTCCTGCTCTTGAACTTGGGCCTCCTTTTCCCTCAGCTCTGGATTCTAAATACTGGCTTGAGGGCAAGGACTACAGGGGGGGTGTTGATGTCCTTGGGGTCTTTGAACATATTCTCAGTTTTCCATCCACTGTGTGGAAAGGTGGTCACAGCTCAATTTCTGTATGACAGCATCTGTGAATGTTGGGGCCTGATATTGGACACACTGAGCAGCCATAAAGAGAAAGGAGTGGTATGGGCCATAAGATCCGCCCTAAAGTGCTGTCCTTCCCCTCAGCCCAGGTGGACACTGTTTCATCGCTGGTCCTTGGGTCCTTCCTTTGATTTTGTGTCAAGTCAGGTACTTCCTGCTCCTGCCTGGCTCTCAGGCACCCAAGTGTCACCACAAGCAGGTGCCCTCTGATGCGAACCATAGATGGACCGAAAAGATCTGAGTATCTAGCTCCACATACTTGCAAACCCACAGACTAACTTCCCCTAAAGCCACACTGTATCTGGAGCAGCAGAGAAGCCCAGCCTGAAGTGGGCCTCTCCTCTTATTCTTCTGAGTCCTCAAGTGGCCCTGGGATAGGCTCAAGAGTTTACACACAAATAGCTCAGGGTGGAGCTCTGGGAGGGCCAGGACTAGAAACCTGAAAGGGAGTAGCTAAGCTTCTGCAGAGGACTGCTCTGCTGAAACTAACAAAACAAGCCTTGCTGGCTACAGTGTCTGCTATGCTACACCAGGCCCCTGACACTAAATTGAAAATTCCAAATGTAATCCCCAACCCCTACTTTAATCCCAGGGTCTGGGTTGGGGCTTAAATACCTCATCCTTTTCTGCAACTACCCCTGCCTGGCCCCGTGTGTGTCCTAGAGCTATGGGAAAGATTTGAGGCTGGATCTGCCATCTGATCAAATTCAAAAGAGGAGGAAGTGTCCCTCTGCCCTGCCATGTGTAAAAGGCATGGTGAAGAATGGCACGTAACACACAGACCTTAAGCCCATGCACAGCCTGTTAGCCAACCTCAAAGAAGCACTGCAGAACACCGTCTCTGTAGCGAAGGAACAGCAGGAACAGGCACCAGAGGTCGGAGTGTAGGGAGATGGCCACAGTGGTACTCACTTATGCCATGGTCAGCTGTCTGTGTGGTATGACAAGACTGTAGAAAGGGGTGTCACACAGTCTTTCGTCAGGGGCAGCAAATCTAAGAAGCAGGTCTCAAGAGACCTCAACAGGGATGTAAACATACTGAGAGAGAGGATGAGGCAAACATGATCCCTGCTTCTAATACCATAACCACTGTGGCTGTTTTCTTCTTCAGACTGTCAGCTCCTCAATAATGACATGGAGATTTTTTTTTTCACGAAAGCTTGGCCTTAGGTTAGACTTGTTCCCAACTAGTTCTTAAACCTTAAGTTAGCCTGTTTATGTTCATCTATACTCTGCCATGTGGCTCATTACCTCTCAGTACCATACATCTGGCTTTCTCCGGTCTGGCTGACAGATCACCCACCTCAGATTCTTTCCCAGAGTTCCTATCTCTATCTGGAAGTCCCACTTATTCTCTCCTGCCTAGCTATTGGCTGTTCAGCTCTTTATTAAGCCTATCAGAGGGTGCCTTAGATACATCTTTATACAGTGTACAAGAAGATTATCCCAATGTATCACCATCACCACCGCACAAACTCCCACTTCAACCCCAGGCTTTGAGTGGAGCTTTTCCTATAACTAGGGACACTGCTGTCCCTCTCCTGCCCCCTTGTGGCCACTTTGGGAAGGATGCTGGCTAAGCTTTACACTCTGGTCTGTAGCTGAAAAGTAACAAATGGTTGAGCCCTCGTCTTTGCCACCTGGAAGAACCACCAGAAGCCTCAAACCTTGCTCTGTCTTCTCTCGTGGTCTTGGATTCTGGTCTGGACATCCTCTTCTTTGCAATACATACTCTGCTCTACTGCAGTGCCTGACCTGTAAGTCATGAGGGCAGCTACACAAACAGCAGGGAAAATTGTTCTCCATTCCATCTTGGCAGCCATGCCTCTTGAGGTCTAAAAGTTTACACATCTGACTTCCTTGTCCCTGGATCTAATCCTGAGGCCCAGGCATGCACCTTCCTTAGGCTCCTGCTGAGTCCCATCTCTGTCTTCTTCACCCTCCCTTGAGCCCTCCACCCATTTTAGTCCAGATCACGTACAGTCCTCCACAGCCAGGAAACCCTTCTTCTCCTACTCTACTGTAGCTGAATGTTTTCCTCTGCCCTGTCAGGTCACTGGGCCAGTTTCTCTTTTCCCTGGTGGTCTATGTAGCTGTTTATGAAATAATCACTCAAAAGCTAATATTAATATAATTGGTTGACTGCTGGTGTAGGCTTATTATTGACTAATTCTTACTTATAAACTAACCCATTTCTAATAATCTGTATCTCCACATGGCCCATGATTTACCAATCTGCTGGCATGTTATTCTTTGTGTGGCTGGGTAGCGTCTCTCTTGACCATACCTTTCATTTCCTGCATATCTTTTTGGATTTCCCACCTACCTATATTCTGTCTTGCCAGAGACCAAAGCAGCTTCATCTATCAACCAATAAAGGCAACTCATATCTGCAGCATACAGAAGGACATCCCGCCTTCTCTCTCATGCTAATGTACACCCGATAGCACGTTTATTAACTGGTGACACCATAGGTGGATGTTTTGTTCTACCTGTGTGGAGCATTTTAAAGATTAAAAAAAAGTGACATTAATAGGCAAACTTTTTAAGTGAAGAGATTTCATACTAAAATCCTGATTTTCGGAAAGCATAAATCCTGCTTAGCTGTCATTCCTGCCTGGCAGTAACCGATAAGCAACCTAACCACACTTCTCATCCTTTTTCCATCTTCTTATCCTTGATGACGCTGCTGATCTGCCAGCACTGTGGGTTCTTGGGGCTGTATTAACAGGCTCAGCCACTGCACAGCCTGGCTTCTTTGGCATTTCATGGGATGGAGAGAGCATAGCTCTGTTACACATGGAAAAGAGAAACTCTGAGTCAGAGAGATGGCTCAGCAGGTAAAACGTTTTTGTGTGTGTGTGTGTGTGTGTGTGTGTGTGTGTGTGTGTGTGTGTGTGTGTGCAATACTGATGACTTATTTTTAAGCCCTGGCGCTCATGCAAAAGGTAGAGGGACAAAACCGATTACACAGAGTTGTCCTCCGATCTCCACACATGTGCTGTGGCATACCCACCCACACAATACGTAAACATTGTAAAACGAAATAAATTAGAAAAGAGAAGCCCACATGTGGGCACTAATCTGAGCCACCAGCCTGATGATGTGCCACAGGGTCACTGAGGGCGTGCCTTAGTTTTTACAAAGATGTGATCTGGTGCTCGCTCTGCTGCCGCTTCAGTTCTTCTGATTGGGGAGATATCCCCGTGCAAACTGTGCGTTCTAGGAGGTGGCACTGGAGGGTTAGAAGAGGGACACTTGAGAGAGCTATAACCACAGATGTTCCCTTGCCCTTCTGTCCTCTGGGCAGATGGAAAGGCCCAACCACACGGCCTCATGGGACTCTCTTGTCACAGCTGCTCACCAAAGACTCGAAGCAGAGGCTGGGCTGCCAGGAGGAGGGGGCTGCTGAGGTCAAGAGGCACCCCTTCTTCAGGAACATGAACTTTAAGCGCCTGGAGGCTGGGATGTTGGATCCTCCCTTCGTTCCTGATGTGAGTAGCCACCACTGCTCTCAGGAGCACCAAGGTCATCTCTTCCAGACATGCTTTCTAGCAGACCCAGCGTTGTGAATCACACAGTGCCTCAGGTCAGCTAATCCAGCTGTCTTCCTGGAGCACTAAGGACTGCCCACTCTCCCTTCCTAAACTTTGACTATTTTGTGGCAAGGCTGTAGCTCATGTTGTCAGAATGTACAGATGGGGTGTGACCTCCACATTGGTTATCCAGAGACTTAGGTACTTTTTCCAGTAAGGGGACCTAGACAACCTTCAGTTGTCTGACCTATCCAGTGAAATCCAAGACACCTATCTTCCTTGAACCTGCCAGGTACATCAAAGATTGAAATGACCAAAATGGAAAATGCTATAATGAGTATTGAGGACCACCACATTCAGTTCAGTTTAATTGAGTATCTACTGTCCAGTTAAATTAGGATTTTCCTTGAAGATGCTCTACTGGGTCTGTATGCCTAGGCTCACACTTAGCTCACACTCTAAAGGGAGTTCCACCCACCGAGGCCTTTTTGTGCCTCTGAACTTTCAAAGTCTCAGCAGATTGAGGACCCTTGTTGGGATCTGGGGTTCAGCTCATGAGAGTGGACAGATGTGGTACATATCTCTTCCCAGCCCCCTGCTTAGTTACCTCAGGACAAGAGCCTGCAGTAGACCATGATGGGAATATTGACATTACAGCAATTGGCAAATAATACAAATCAGAGCTTTTCAAGACCCCTTTATCAGAGCCAGTTGTTAACCATTTGTTATCGCAGAACTGAGGAAATGAGGAACAGTCCTTGCATATTTGGCAAAAATGTCTTAAAAGGTTCCCTGATCATCAGGGTAGGAGAGCAGCAGCATATGTGGGGAGCTGGGACTAGCTCCTGGATGCTGAATAGTGTCCATGGTCACCTACTGGAGACCTCTGTAACTAGAGGTGGCATCCACTAATAGGTCTGACCATAGAATATTTTTTGACATTAGAAAGATTAAGTTAGTAAATGCTGCAAATTCCTCATGAGAGGAGGTTCAGCTGTTGGTTCAAGAAATTCAAAATATAACAGTGACTCTCACTAAGGAGGAAGAAAAGTACTGATCCTGGCCTGGAGATGTAGCTCAATCGGCAGAATGCTTCCCTAGCATGCATGGAGTACTGGGTTTGATCCCAGCACTATATTAGCCATGTGTGGTGGTGCATACTTTTAATCCCAGCACTTAGGAGATGAATGCAGAAGGATTAGAAATCCAAGACCATCTTCAGCTATATAGCATGTTGAGAGGCCAGCCTGGGCTACATGAAACCCTATCTCAGAAATGAGGGAGAACAGCTGAAGAGATAGTTCATCAATAAAGTCCTTGCATTGCTAGTGTGAGGACATGAGTTCAATCCTCAACACCTGCATGAAGGTGGATGCATGGATATGTGCTTGTAATCCCATCACTGAGAAAGCAGACACAGGAAAATCTCTGGGGTTCACTGGCCAGCCCGTTTTGCCTAATTGGAAGCTCCAAACCAACGAGAGGCCCTGTCTCAAAGGAAGTATATGATGTTCCTAAGGCTGGCACTGAAAATTGTCCCCTAGTACCCCACCCCCCAAGAAGTACTAATTTTTTTTCAGCATTATTATTCTTTATTTGTGATGCTGGAGCCCACGCCCGGGGCCTTGTGTATGCTCGGTTAGTGTTATAAGTATCTAAGGCACTTGAAGAGGGAAACCATACATTACTTCTTTTGACTCTTGATTGTGAAAGGACTGAAATCACACTGGAAAATTTCTATCCTGATGTAGAAACTAACTATGCACGTATAAAATCATATAAGGAATCTAGAAGGGGGCTTTTTTTTTTTTTTTTTGGTTTTTCGAGACAGGGTTTCTCTGTATTGTTTTGGAGGCTGTCGGTCCAGCCTGGCCTCGAACTCACAGAGATCCACCTGCCTCTGCCTCCCGAGTGCTGGGATTAAAGGCGTGCACCACCACCGCCCGGCCAAGGAATCTAGAAGGGGGCTTAAATGAACCAAGTAAAATGCTGTACATTGGCATGAGTATGACACTGAAGATGTACTAATCTTTTACCTAGGTCCCAAATGGTCTTTGACCAAGCCTGGCCCATCAGAATTTTTCAAATTTTGTTTGTTGCTTAGCAGATATTTTGAAGTTTGTTGAGAACTATGCTACAGCCACTACTCAGCATCCCTAGAGACTGTCTAGAGTAACAGCAAGGACACAGCAGTTCTAGGCTTGGGCTGGCCTTTGGACTACCTATTGCTATGGTGATGGAACGAGATCACTTGTGACACAGGATGTATTTCTCAACCTCTCCACATGGTTCAGGCTCTGTGCCAGGCTCCAGACATTGCATGATGAATAGTATATTGGGTTATTTCGACCATGAAGTCTCAGTCTGAAGAAGTGAAATGTCAGCAAACACTCGTTAAAGTTGAACTAGGAGTCACAGGGAGAAATGGGGCATGGGAAGGGAGGGGATGTAGTGGAGTCATAGAGTACTGGCTGGGCTTGGCTGAAAGAAGAGTCTTCCAGGTCATGGGGTGTTGTATGGAGGCAGCATCTCCATTAATGCAGTTAGTCATCTAGGATTGCTCTTGGTTTAGCACTGTAAGTCTTATGTCCTGAGCAAACAGGGACAGTTAATAACCCTGGGTATGACAGTGCCCCCACCAGACTTCAGGACCCCTCAGTGCACTTCATAGAAGTCAACATTCCTTACCCCCAGTTCCACAGTACCCTATGGTCCACATGGCATATGTTCTCTGTTCTGAGCAGCAAAGGCCCTTGGCATATCACTAGGGTAGGTAGGTGGTGAGGGAAGACTGTAGGCTCCAGAAGATGAAGCCCCTTATGAACTCCTGAAGGTGACCTGCACCCATCCTGTCTGCCCTCTGCCCCCAACCAGCCAATTGGTCTCATATCATCTTCAGGTTGTAGCCACATTCATAACCACAGGCACTATTACTAGCTTAATCTTTTTCACTTCACTTGACTTTTTTCAAAACAAAAATACATGTATTTCAAAGGAAATAATAGTCATAAGATGGTAGGTTTTGGCTTGTTATGATAAATTTCTATCAGTATAGATTTTTCAAATTACCTTTTAAAATACTTAATCTGTATATCTTTCAGGGCTAACATACCTCCTAGGGCCTGAGCACATCCCAGGACCAGCTGTGCAGGCTTGGCATGTGCAGTCATTCTGGCCCTACTTAGCTCAATACCCCATTCATTTCTGTCTTAAAATTCTAATATTTGTGAGCAGAGGACCCTGTGTTTTCATTATATCTTTGTCTTGTAAATAATGCAGCTGATCTTGGTGCCCCCTAATGCATTCCCCTCAGCCATGGAGACTGAGAAGGAGACGTACAGCTATACAGTGAGGTCCCCCAAATCTGCCTCTGCTGCTGCTCATGCACCCTTCAACTAAGGAGTTTGCACTGCTCCTAGCTGTGTGGCTTCAAGCTACCTACACAAGCTTTGAGCAGTAGGCCTCTATAGATGGAATGAGAAACCTTAGAAAATTCTGAAGCCTCAGCCCAGGGCTGGAACCTCCTAAGGGATCACAGTCTCTGCCAAGGTTGTGTGTCAACTCATGACCCTTGAATTAACTAGTGTCTGTGTTGGGGCCTGGGCTAGGCCTGAGGAGCCTGCATAGAAGCAGCCTCTATCTTCAGATAGACACACTTTGCTCAACCTGGAGTCACCCCTAAAGCTTACATCTTAATACCCTAGTTTCCTACAACCCTGAGGGGCAATCATTCTACAACTGGCCCTCCTGGAGGGTATAACCCAGCCAAGTTGACTTCTGTGGGTTTGTGGAATAGATGCTAAGCTGCTGCTGGATGGATGATTGAGGACAGGCAGGGCTACCATTGACACAGCAGCTCATACTCAACTCAGCGACATTCTGTAGCACTATGGACCAGGTATTTTCATTATTCCCATTTGTAGGGAGAAAACTGAGGCTCCGAAGACACACTTGGCTTTTTTGAAGGCTTCTAAGTTTCACAGTGGAGACTATCTGCTAAAGAGTTTGGGTTAAATACGTGGCTTCATCGCTCTGCATGAAAATGAGCTGGAGCATATTCCTGCCAGGGCTGTGCCATGCACCCCCAGGCCATCTTCTCTCTGTGGCACTGTGCCTTTGCTATGGTGTTGGGTCCACAGCATCCCTACAGACCATAGACCCCAAACTATAACCAGTGCCACCTCTCTTCCAAAAGATAGCACTTTGAAGCAGTGCTATCTTCCTGGTGGTGTGGGCTTCCTGGCAGCTAAGAAAGCTAATGGGTGAGGTTCTCAGAAAGTCCAGGGATCATGAACTTAGAGACAGAGGCAACCTCATAGCCTTTTGGGCCTACCTAGAAAGAGACCACAGGTCTATGTGAGTAAGCAGGTAAGAAGGAACTCTAGACTGCAAATCTCCAGCTCTCAATTTACTTGAGCCAGGTCTTCTTGGTGGACCTGAGAGTGAAGCTCATATTTGAGGACCCAAAGGGTGAGAAGCTCAGGGAGATGTCCCCACTGTTCTCTATCAAAACCTAAGGGACAGGCTTGGGGACTTGGCAGGCACAGGGAGGACCCATGTGATGGAGCCCTCTGTCTATTTTAGCCCCGGGCTGTGTACTGCAAGGATGTGCTGGACATTGAGCAGTTCTCCACTGTGAAAGGTGTCAACCTGGATCATACGGACGATGACTTCTACTCTAAGTTCTCCACAGGCTCTGTGCCAATCCCATGGCAAAATGAGGTGGGCAGATCACACCACCAAGAGGGATGAGTTGTCAGGGAAGATGGCAGTGCAAGGGCAATGGAAGGGCCACTGGGTAGGGCAGCAGAGATGGGCCTGGGTGGGAAGTCAGCAAGGCAGCTGAGCGAGAACAGGCGGGACAGCAGCAGGGCGCCTCCCTGGGAGAGCTGCTGAAAATAGGGGGAAACGGGCATTTTCTAGAAGCCCAAGGATTAAATTGAGGAAGTCAGCTGATAAGATGCGGTAGACATGATTGTCTAGTTAACTATAGGAGATGGTTTGGAGGGGGAAGAGTTTGCCTCTGGTGGGTTCTATTCTTAGTGTAGTCCCCAAGAAAGTTACAGAGGAGCCCTGTGGGAGGAGAGGGCAGAGCCAGTAGTACAGGGATAATATACCTGGGGGGTGGGCACAGGGTAACAGTGTTGTTTTTGTTCTGCCTTTCTAGATGATAGAAACGGAATGCTTTAAGGAGCTGAATGTGTTTGGACCCAATGGTACCCTCTCACCAGACCTGAACAGAAATCAGCCTCCGGAACCTCCAAAGAAAGGGTTGTTTCACAGACTCTTCAGGCGTCAGGTGAGAAAGCCAGCCTCAGCAGCCTGGCCTTAGCTCTAGGACCCCAACCCACTCACACACCAAAGATCCAGAATGCCCCTCGCTGGGATGGCCTGATAGCCTGGTATTGCTAGTCAGCCTGTCCAAAGCCCTAGCACCCCCTGTTGGTGATGGGACCCCTGGGGGCAGAAGAGACAGGGTCCCATGTCAACATTGCTGTTGCAGGGAAGCTGATTCTTGTCTCAGGGCTATGCCACATAGGGAAGGATGTTGTAAAACATTACCAACCTCTGCCCTCCTGACACAGAGGAAGAAACAGTTCAGCACCTTTTCTCCCAGTGGTCACCACTGAATGTCCCCTGCAGGGCAAGACCACCATAGACAGCAAAACAGGTCCCATTGTTCAATCCCCCCACACTAGCTGGCAACCCAAAGAATTTTCTCCCATTGGGAACAGCTTATCCCTGAAGGTATGGCCCAAATGGAACAAAGCCTTGGGAAAGATCTGGTAATCCAGAGAGTGTGAGAACCCAGGAGCCCTGCTCCACAACTACAAAGGCAGCTGCAGTTGTACCCACTTAGCCTAGCCCTTTAAGCAGATGGAGTCCCAGGATTCCCATCTTAGAACTTGGGAGTCTTTCTCTACTTTTCTCTCCTCCCCTAGATCAGCTTTGGTCTCTTGACCTGAACTCTTAACACCCTCCATCAGGTAGCAAGGATAAAGACGGTTATTTACTGAGATGCATTATAGGTTAGGCCTGGGCTGTGTACATGATATCCATACAACCTAGCTCCAAATCTTGGGCACCCCCCCCGCCATGTACCAAGAGAGGGAATGACTCATTACTTGTAGGAATGTGGGCTTCCATTGCTCTATTTCAGTTAAGGAAACTGAGACTGAGAGAAGCCAAAGAACTTAACCCTAGGTCACACATTTGGTGACTCCACAGGATATCTGTTATCTGGGACACAGGACAGGAAGCATCTTCTGGCTCATGGGAAGTATAAACTGAGCCACGTCCCCTGCCAAGTTTGTGTGTTTTCTATAAGAAGTTCATGTCAGTTTCATATCTTACTCTGTAGTATATTTTTGTTTTTATAATACAATGAAATGTTTGAACATTTCCATCAACTAAAACTACAAGTTCTAGAAAGAAATTACCCATTCTCTCAGCTCAGAGATTTAGGCTTTCTTAATTTTGTGGTTGTTTCTGGTACCAGATAAAACTGTCTGTTCAAGGAGCACCCTGGAGACTCAGGTCTGCTGGGGAGAATGCAAAGAGCCAAAAAACAAAGAGAGGAAGGTTGGAACATTTTGGATTTTACTGCCCCAACTTCTAGAGCCACCATGAGTGTCATCCATGAACTTTGAATTTACCAAAAACTGACTCTATTCCTCTTTCTCCTCAGCATCAGAACAATTCCAAGAGTTCACCCACTCCTAAGACCAGTTGTAACCACCGCATAAATTCAAACCACATCAGTTCAAACTCTACTGGAAGCAGCTAGTTTCAGCTCTGGCCTTGAAGTCCAAGGTGGAACCATCTTAGACCCTTCTACTTGGAAGCAGAACTTGTAGGTGGTGGAGCTTCCACTGTGGCTGGGTAGCCAGGAGAGCTTCCCTGGGAACTGGATTAGGATACTGTTCATCCCAACAACAAGCCTCCAAGTTTCTCAAAGAAATCCACTCAGGTCTGTTTTCCAAGGTGGCCCCAAGCCGGGGTGGACTAGAATTTTCCTTGTTGAACATTGCAATAGAAACCCAATGGGATATGACAGCTTACACGGATTTTAATAGCATCCTAACTAGAACTGAATTTTGTCTTTATTATTTTTAAAGGAAAGTTTTGTAAATTTCTCTATTGTCTCCGTTTACATTTTGTATATTTGTATTTAAATGAAAGTCAGACTTTGAGGGTGTATATTTTCTGTGTAGCCACTGTTAAGCCATGTGTTTTAAGACATTTTAGATGGGGGGGTGTTATAAAAAAATGTGACTCTAGACTTCCAGAGCCTCAAAAGAGAAAATGTTTTTATTAAATGTAGAAAATGTTTCACCTTTTACCTTTAAAGACCTGATTACATCTCCCTATATCCATCACTCTGTGTAACTATCACTCTCCTGTTGACTTGTAACAATGTTAATGAAATGCCAAAATGCACTTGGAACATCCTCCCCCAAACGCTCTCTGGGAGTAGGACATCATTGGTAAGAATACTTCCATGGGCAGGCATTCAACACTGCAGGTTCTCTTGTCCTCCTGCTGCTGGGTGTCTGGCATGCAGGACAGGGAATCCTAAGTCACTGGGCTGCAGATCTTGGCTGCTAAAGCCAGTGGTTTCCAAGAGGTTCCTTACTCTGTATTAATTTTAGTTGTGTGTACTGATGATAAGGATCAGTCTTGGAAAGCCAAGTCTTCTCAACCATGGGACTATGGAGAAGTGTGAATTAGGGGTCCATCATGAGTGACTACCTTCGTGCCTGTTTAGGCCTTGGCTGGTCAGTAAAGTGATCACCAAATCATGACACTTTCATGGGGACCCCACAGATTTGTTGGCTCATGGGACATGAAGGAAGTCATCTTTCCAGGCAAATGGGATGCTTGAGAAGAAACTTGCACTAATGAAGTGTAAGACAATCTCATTGTCACTTCTCAAGGAGAGCTGGGCCAAAAGCTGGTTCTAATTGGGCATCTCAAAGTCACAGGCTAGTCTGGAACACTTGATGGACTTATCTTTCCAGCCCTGGGAAGTTGTTGCCCAGCCCCTGAAATCCGAGGAGGTGACAAGATACAGATTCTCCCCCAACTTCTCACCAGGACAGGGTGAGCAGCTAGTCTCACTGCTCCCCTGGGAGAATGAGGCCCTGAGTATGATTCTGCCTCAAAATTTGTCTCCGCCACCAACTACTGGGGTTCCTTAGGGGTGAGCCAGGTGCTACCTGAATCAGCTCCTGTTAAAATGAGATTCCTGGGCCACACCCCAGACCGATTACTTGCTGATCTCATTTGTAGTACAGGCTGGTCTCAAATTAAAGATCCTCCTGCCTCAGCCTCCTGAGTGCTAAGATTACAAGTGCATACTACCATGAAATCTGCACTTTTTAAAAAGCTACTCAGACCCTTCTGATGCCCCACAGTGTGAGAACCATGCCCCAGGCCTGTGGGTATGGCCATTCCAAATGTGTTTTTCTGAGGGACCTGATAACTTTGGGACTTGAGCCTGTCAGGAGGAGAATCCCAAGCATGTCAATCTTATATCTTTGACTGCAAGATCTCCCAGGGCTCACTGCTAGAAAGGAGGCTGGCCTCTGGGACTAATCATCCTGAAGTCAGTTACCCACAAGAGAGGAAACAGTCAAGCTCTATGGTGCATGGTTAACCTCAAGCCTGGCTCTGTGGCTGCTTCTAAACCTTTCTTGGGCTTATGTGAAGCAAATGCAAACGACCATATCCAGGTTCTACTCAGTACTTCCAGATCATCAAACTATTGCTCATGATTCTTCCTCAAAGGGAAAAAAATTGTCATCCTTCTGGGATGGTCACCAACCCTAGCCACAGGCGACCCCTGCCTCCTTTTTACCCCTGCCTTCCTATTTCCCCGCCCAAAGACATTTAACCCTTGTCAAGTAGGTAACTGTTGGGAAACAGTTTCTCCTTAGTCCTCAAAATCAAGGCCATGTCCATTTGCAGCAGAGAATCCCCAGGAAGCTAAACAGAACACACACGTCTGGCTCCCATGTGTTCCCATCAGGAGGTCCTGAAAGACCTGTGCACTGAAATGTGCCTGAGTGCCAATGGAAGGTGGGAGTAGTCATGTGTTCCAGTCTTTCAGTTTGATTGGCCTACTCATGGCTTCCTAACAAGAAACAGTGCCTGAAAAGTGTTCCTCCTCCCTGACTGAGTCTTCCTCATGCCCTGGTTTCTATAGCTGCATTTTTAAAAAGGTTTTTGTTTTTAAATAAAAACAAGCTCTCTTCCCTGTCCAGAAGACAGTGTATATGGACAATGAATGGATGACACTTTGCTGTGCATGTGAGCTCTTTGCAGAAGAACCTTTCTTGCTTCAAGTGTGGTGTGTTTATCACCAGATATTCACTGACCTGGAGTGAGAAGCTTCTCTGCTTTTGCTGTTTGGGAAATAGGCCTCTGTCTGCAGTAGGTAGGGGGGGTCTCCGCTATAATCATTCTGACTTAAAATTGTGTGTTACACCCTTTAGCAGGGGAGGTGGGGGGCTCTGAATATCACCCCCAGAATATCAAGAATGCCTGATCCCTACCTCCAAGGAAGATGGTGTGAATCCTCTAATCATTCTTTTTTTTTTTTTTTTTTTTTTGGTTTTACGAGACAGGGATCTCGGTATTGTTTTGGAGGCTGTCGGTCCAGCCTGGCCTCGAACTCACAGAGATCCGCCTGCCTCTGCCTCCCGAGTGCTGGGATCCTCTAATCATTATTAATCCTGAACTACAAGGCTCCAAGTTCACTCACCTGTCTGGGGACAGGCAGCAAGAGGTCTGCTGCATAGACCCAGGCAGGTAGCCACAGTGACATGTATACCTGACAGGCACTGACCTATGGTGTTTCTGATAAGTTCATGTGCATGGGGACATGTGCATGACACTTTTTTTGAATTAGAGGCACAAATAAGATCGGGAGTCTGCCTCACAGCTGAGGCCAACCCCTGAGAAAGCAAAGACTGGGAAGTTTCCATGCTTCTCCAAGGAACTTAGCCCTAATATTGAAATATATTATATTCTTCTGGACCAAGTACTTTTTGCAAGGCTGGCTCTACTTTCCAGCAAATTAACTGAGCTACTGACCTCAACACAGTGCAGGCAATGCAGCCCCTGGCATTCTAAGCCTTGACAAAGGGAATGGACAACTAAAGGTCCCAAGAGGAAAAGAAAAGGCTGATCCCAACAATACTGGGGTCTTCTTTTGATATATTGTGTGTTTGCTTTTCTTATTATATCCTTATCTGCTCCCATGTGTCTCCCATTTTCATAACCCAATACCCTGAAATAGGACCTTCTAACTTAGGTCTTGCTGTGGAAAGGCAGTTATAAAGTCTCTTCCTCCAGACTACAGTTGGGAAATCTCCACCTTTTTGTACCTGTTTGTGTAACCAGTCACCCAGCTAGTGAAACTGACAGGTATGTTGGCCAGACCCTGCACAGGCGCACATAAAGTACCTCCTCTGGCCCAAACTGAAAAGTCTTGACTCAGGACAATGATTTAACATGTGACAAGCTAAGTCACCTTAGGAAAGAAGCATCATTCACCCTAAAGGAAGATGCTGGGTGTTGGGCATCTTTGCAGTTCATCAACTGACCATTCCTATAATAGATCACAAATAAATGTTGTCCATTAGAAAGGCATTGTGGCTACTGGCATCGTTATAATAATAATTCTAGTATCCAAAGGTTCCCCCCCCAGGGATATTTTAGCATTAATGAATGACTGTGGTTCCATTTTGGAGGTTATTCTCAATGATAACAGCTTCCGTTGTACTGCTCTGAACCTCTCATGTTCCGTTCACTATGTCACAGTGCCACCGTGTCTAGCCACAACCACTGTTGTTTTATAAAGACAAATAAATTCCTTAATGAATATAACATTGCATTTCTTTCCTTCTGTGGAGATGGTGACCAATTTCATCTGCGTGGCAATTGCCTGAAAGATGTTCATACTGACTGCTGTGGCCTCTCAGTTAACCTTTTCTCAAGTCAGTTCCAACCAAACCAAATCTGACCCTCATACTGACCACACCAAGAACTGCCATCATGTGGCTCAGCTCTGGTAGGCAGTACATAAGAAGACCAGCAGAACTCTCATCAGCTCCGAACCCAATCCCAGCAGGGTCTAGCCATGGGGACAAAGTACACTAGGATAGGAATGCCAGGAGGCAGCCATACTTGTGTTTACATGAGAGGCAGGCTCTTTAGAGAACATGGTTCAGCGTTCATGTATGATGGCCAAATCTAAAGCCCAAGACCCCCTAACTGCTATGTGGTCCTGAGCCAGCTTGTGGGCCTTCACCTGTCAGAGCTACACCAGGTGACCCCTAGAGGACTCAGGACGTGGGACACCCAGAACCCAGGCCTATGCCCTGGAGGATCTGGTCCCTAGGCTAACTCTAGATCCTTTTGGAGATGGGGTGAATACAGTGGCAGATCCCACATTCGCTCACATACCCCGTGTGAGAACCAGATGTTCCCCCAGCAAGCACTTGGTAGAAGAGAAATGCACAGAAGATGGTGGCTTTTTGAGGCTCCTGTCTCCCAGCACGAGCTCTGGAGTCTGTTTTCCCCACGGAAGAGTTTAGTTCCCTGGCTCCTGGAAGCAGACACCTTTCCTAAGTGGAAGGAGACATTGAGACAAAAGCTCTATGTAGCTGCCCCCTGACAATGAGATGGGACGGGAGGTTCGTCTGTAACTGAAAAGGGGTCTTTCCTGAAAGGAGAGAAGAGTTGCTGAGCCACAGTACCAAGGAAGCAACAGGCACGTGTTGCTGACCATGTGTGAAGACTTCCAAGAGAAAGTGGAAGGCCCAGGAGGGGAAGCCCTCTGACTTAGAGATGGGAACCTCACTCAAGACAGTGGGAATCTTCCTAACCCTTACTATCTTGGGGACTTTTACCAATCTAGAAAGAAGGCCTACTCACCCAGCCAACCTCCCGGGCAAACAGAAGCTGCTGTTCCTCCTGACAGGATCTCAGGTAGAAACTTGGGTCCCATTGTCCTGTGCACCAAGGCTGTCTACCTCATTATACTACTCTCCAGGCGGACAAGGAGGACAGGTGGGAGGAAGTGCTGATCCACCACCTCCATCTCCCTCTTCACTACAAACAGCTGTGCACAGTAGATGAGTGCACGGAATGGTCCCCATTCCATCTATGCCCAGGAGAGGCTGGAGGTGCCCTCCCCTCTCCCTCTGCCCCTCTTGGGACCCCAGGGAGTGCAGGCCCCGGCTGAGATCTACCTAGACCCCTGGAGATGGGGAGAAGCAAGTAAGTTTGAGTGTTGGGAACCTATGGTGATATTTTGTTTTATGATCTAACAAATAAAGCTTGCCAAAAGATCAGTGTGCAAATGAAATGCAAACATTATTACCTTAGATTCTGTATGTTCATCAGAAGGGTCTGAAAAATGAGAGACACGTAACTAATTATATATTATCATGGCAAGTCAATCAGAATTTTACACTGAATTAGTGTGGAAAATCACAATTATAGTGGTCACTGGGAATAGCTCCCTTAAGACTGGGACTCAGTTTATTTTCACATTGCCTGTTCTGTCTGATGAGAACAGAAACAAAATTGAAATCCAGTGGGGAAAATGAATGTTACTAAGATGAAAAGAGAGCCAACAATGTGGTGTTCAAAATTAATTGGAAGTAAACTGGCCATTATACTATGGAATTCTATGGTTTTGCCATGTTATTGCAATTTAGGAAGCAAAATCAGTCATAAATGTTCACTCACTGGAATGGATTAATTGTCTTCCAAATTTTTTTCAATGTAATCATCTTGGATGTTTACTTGTAGAATACTAAAGCATAAAATGTTCAATTTTGCATGCAAAAAAAATCAGTGTGCAAAGCTAGCCACACTACTCAGCCATAGAGGCCAAGCAGGGGTGGCTCACACCTTTGTTCCCAGCAGCCACACTAGCTAGCCATAGAGTCTGGGTGATGGTGGTGCACGCCTTTAATCCCAGCACCAGGGAGGTGGAGACGGGGTGCTATGGCTGGGTGGAGAGAGGAATATAGGTGGAATGAGACAGGAACTGGGTCTCTTTTCAGTCTGAAGATTTTGTAGAGTTAAGAGCTCTCTAGTGGTTGACTGCTTTGCTTCTCTGATCTTTCAGCTTTCCCCCCTAATATCTGATTCTGGGTTTTTATTATTAAGAACAATTAGAATTCCTGCTATAGGAACCCTCACGCCACAGCAAGTGAGGCTCTTGTACCCCTATGAACAGGGCTTCCTTGAGTTAAATAGTGGCCAGGCCTGGGTTTAGTTGCCTTGTGGGTGCATTAGGAAACAGGTCTTCTCAGCTTCCTGGAGGCAAGCTGTGTTAGGTTAGATATACTAGGCCAGGGAGACAGAGACAGGAAGATCCCTGGGACTCATTGGCCAACATAACTGAATCTTCAAGCTCTAGGTTTAGTGAAAGATCTTGTCTTAAAAAGAAAGGGAGAGCCCGGCATTGGTGGCACACACCTTTAATCCCAACACTCGGGAGGAAGAGACAGGTGGATCTCTGTGAGTTCGAGGACAGCCTGGTCTACAGGGCAAGTTCCAGGACAGCCTCCAAAACAATACAGAGAAATCTTGTATCAAAAAAATAAATAAAATAAAAAGAAGGGGAGAGCAACTGAGGAATATGCCTGATGTCAGCCTCTGGCTTCCACATGCATTCACATATATGCTTCAGTACATACACAAACACATACTAAACACAAACAATAAGTTTTTAAGTGGCTGCTGATGTTATTATTCCTTCCATTTACCTCACATTTCTTCTAGATACTTCTATAGTATACACAAAAGCAGAAGAGGGGGAAAGCTTAGGGATTACTCTAGAGAAGTCTGAGAAAAATCTGCCAGGATACCCCACCTTCTCAGTCTCCTGTGAAACCCAAGGGATCTGCATCAGGGTAGGAGAGGAAGCAGTGAGATTCCAGGATCAGGGCATCCCCACCCTGCATTTCATCAACACCAGAGCCAAACATGCGGTTTACTCAGATGAGGTTCTGATGAAACCACTGACGGACGTTCTTTCATGTTAGCAGAAACTTGGACAACAGAGCCGAGAACTCCACTCCAAAAGAGTTCAACCCTGTAATGAAGGTTTCTGGTTTGGCTCATGCCCTTGATCACTTCTGCTGCTGCTGTTTCACGGGGGTAAAAGTAGGGGATGAAGGAGAAAAATGATTCCCTTTAGAGTTGCCTACCATACACCAGTGCACTTTAGGTAGTAATCCCAATCTCATATTTGAAGTGGCCTCTGTATTTTCTAACAAGTGATGTTACTGTACAAAATTCACAGACAAAGCCTTGATGAACTTTGAGGTTTGGTATTTCCTCCATAAACCTTCTGGCTTTTAGAAGTCCTTACCTTTTGTTGATAAGCAAATCAATTCTTTATTTTAGCTTTTTTCTTCTTCATGATTATCAGTTCAGCATGCAAATTCTATAGCTCCAAAGTCTACATTCAAATCCTAGTTTTTCAATATAGGCATATGGGACAGCTTAGACAAGTTGCCTACTTGCTCTATGTCTCACTTTCCTAATTTGCCCAGGGGTATAGTAACCATTCCTTTTCACTAGCACTAGAAGGACTTTGATAATTCACACAAGCTGTCCATTAAAGGCCAGGGAGATAACCCAGTTGGTAAAGTGCTTGCTGTGCAAACATGATGACCTAAGTTCGATTTCCAGACCCACCCGGAAAAATTGGTTAAGCAGTGGCATCCACTTATATCCCAGTGGTAAAGAATCGGAGTAGATGAGCATCCTTGATGTTCACTGGCCAGCTGGAGTAGTCTACTTGGTTATCTCCAAGCTAGTAAGAGACCCTGTCTCATAAAACAAGGTGGATGACACATGAGGAATCGCATCGGGTGTTAACTTCTGGCCTTCAACATGAATATGTTTATATCCATACACTCATAGCCGCATACATACAGCATCATACACAATAACATGTCTGTCAGTGTTTAGCAGTTGGGAAGCATTTCAAATGTGTTCTTTATTACCACACATTAATGCCAGAGTGTGTTAAGCAAGAGGCATTTACTGTCACCATTCTGGAGGCCAAAGCTGGAAATGAATTAGAGAATCCTGGTACCAGTGTCCCAGTTCTGCAGCTCTGGGTATTGGGAAGTTCTAGAGCAGAGCTGAGGCCTGGGCTGATGGTCTGCAGAACCTGGGAAGGTGTCTCCCTCCCTTAGGAGAAAGTGCCTGGCCAGCTAGAGGTCCAGAAAGTGGACAGGGCAAGCTAGACTAAAGCAGAGGGCTTCCCATTCTATGGTTCTCACTATGGTCTGGAGGAGGTGCCTAGCCTTCCACTGTCCACACTGCCTTTTGGGAATTCAGGCTCCAAAATATCCAGAGAGAATGTCTACCTTAATTGAAGCTTTTCCTTTTGTGAACTTGTTAAAGAAAACAAGACTCAAACAATTCTTCCATCTAACTTTCCTAGGCTTTCTAATGAAGACTGTGAGCTAGATTGAGGAAAGAGAGATTAACAACAGAAAACCGTGGACAAGAATACAGGTACATCACCTTACACACAGGAGCACTCAAATGATAACTTAGAACTTGGCTTCACAAGGCAACTTAACCAGAACACTTACTTGTCAGAGAATTGACAAGACCAGGAAAGGCACTTTGAGGTATGGGAGAGCAAATAAATTGGCAAACTAGTGTGGGTAAAGGCTCAGGAAGTGCTTATCTACATGGATTCTTCTGGTGATGTCTGTGGGAGAGGAGAGAGGACATTTTTACAAACCCCATCCTGTGGCAAAAGGGAGATTGCTCAGTGGCACTTACAAATCCAGTCCTGGTTTTAGTGGTAAAGCATAGACCTGTGCTTAGACCTGCTGCTTTTC